GATCCTTCTGATCTCTGCCTCCTGAATAGCTAGGATTATAGGCATAAGCCACTGGCGCCAGGCTCAAAAACAGTTTTTTAAAAACATAATTCCAAGCCCAAGGCATGGTGGCTCACACCTATAACCCCAGCTACATGGGAGGATTACAATTTGAGGCTAGGCAAGGCAAAAAGCTAGAGAGACCCCATTTCAACCAATAACCTGGGCTTGGTGGCACATGCCTGTCATCTTAGCTAAATAGCAGTTGTAATAGAAGGATCAGAGCCCAGGGTGGCCTAGGCAAAAATGCTAGACCCTATTAAAAAATAACTAAAGCAAAAGGGGGGGAGGGTTTCAGTAGAATCCCTGCCTAGAAATCATGAGGTCCTGAGTTCAAATTCTACTGCCAGACAAAACAACAAAAACCACTAACAACAACCTTCCCAATAAACAAACAAACAAAACCAAAATATAATTCTATGATCATATACAGTGGTCCCTCAGTGTCTACAGGGGATTGGTTCTAGGACCCCTATCAGATACCAAAATTCATAAATGATTAAGTCCTTTATATAAAGCATGCTTTATACACAGCATGTGCATACAGCCTAGGCACAACCTCCAGTATATTTTAAAAAGCTTTTTTTTGCCGTTCTGGAGATTGAATCCAGGGCTTATGCACACTTGACTAATGCTCTAATTTCTGAGCTATATTCCCAGGCCCTCCTATATACTTTAAATCATCATGAGATTACTTAAAATACCTAACATACTACACATGCCATGTAAATACTTACTCAGTACTGGTTTTGTGTGTTTCAGTATAGATGTAATTTTCTTGAATATTTTCAAACTATGGATGGTTGGATTTTGGTTGTGGAACAAATGAATATGAAGGGCTAACTGTATTTAAAGCCTAAATATTATCCACTGTAAAACCCACAAAGACACAACAATCTTCAAAAAAACAAGAACAAAACCAAAAAAACAACCCATTGTCTAAACTTGTGTATAATAATGTGCTGACATGGACAAATAATGTATTACACTGAATTCATAAAGTAACTTCATATTACTATATATCTATATATTATATATAATAATATATAATAATATATTATACACATTAATCTTTAATACATTTGTGTGTTAAAGTCTTTTAGTTTTCAGAGAAAGAGAAACTGGGAAAATGTGAAAAAGTGTTTTTTGCTTTGGCTACAAAAAATTCATTTGTACTAGAAGCACAAAACACAGAAAATTTCTCATTCAGGATAGTAAAAGAATCAGCAAAGGTATACACTAGGCAGTTCTTGCATTTTTATTTATTAGCTGTTCTAAACACAAGTCTTTAGCACCCCGTATTCTAAGCTAAATCACTACTTCCTAAGAAGTCTTTATAATCCTGTGGCAGCTCCAGGTATAATTCCTTTTTATGTTAAAAGGTTCAAATTTTTCCAAATGACACCTTTACTGGAAAACACTTACCTTTCTTGTGCATGATCTTACATATACAGAAGAATTATAAGACAGAAAACATAAGAATATTGACGTTTGGGTTTAAAAGTATTTTCCATCTGTAGTCAGCTAAATTACTGAAAGAACAGCGTGTTATTTTTTAATTGGAAGCTTAAAAGTGAAATGATAAGACAAAATAAAATGTTTAAGTAAATGGTGTACTAGAGCATCCATGAGTATTTTGTGACAAAGGCTCTTTTCTTGAACATTCATGAACAATTCTGGGGAGATGAATTTCCAACCTGGTCCGGTTCACCCCTCCTTAGGAAACCTGGTGGTCCCCCGCTCCCGGGAGGTCACCATATTGATGCCAAACTTAGTGCGGACACCCGATCGTCATAGCGCACTGCAGCCCAGAACTCCTGGACTCAAGCGATCCTCCTGCCTCAGCCTCCCAAGTAGCTAGACTACAGGCGCGCGCCACCGCACCCGGCTGGGGAGATGAATTTCATAAAAACATTTTGCTTAATAAAATAGGCTGAAATTAATTACGAACAGCTACTAAACCAACTATGCTACTTGTGGTTTTAAAACCTAACTATGCTAACTTTTCTTCAATTCTGTAAATACTAGATACCATGATCAATTAAGGCTTTCTCAAATGCAATTAAATTATCATCAATAATTAGTGACTGAGAAGGAGTAAGAAACTCAGTACACAAAATTATGCTGGATATAAATATGAATTATTTATCTTATGCTATGAATTATAGCATAAGATAAAATCGATTTAATGAATTAGGTAAACAGTCAATGAAGACAACCTAATGTATTTGGCATTTATTTAATATACTCACATTTGCCAATTTTCTAAGTAAAAACATTCTACACCTACACCTATAGGTGTTCAGCAAGGATTAATTCAGCAGGTCTGAGTTGCAGAAAACCTGTATGTTCCAAAAGTCTTCAAGCCTGGTCTTTGGGAAACAAAGACCACTTTGTTTGAGCCACTGGAGTATCTGCCTGATAAAAGTTTCTTAGTATACTTGGGGATTTGATCTTATGTTAACAAGATGATTCATGGTGGACACCTGTTTTGTTTACCTGGGGCTTTGAGTTATGCTGTATTCATATGACCTCTAGGGGGAAAAGGGGAAGGAAAACTGGAGTCTGAGGTCAGTCACACAGTTCTCCATGCCTATGTAATTGACTTCTAATATAATCTCTGAACACCAAGGCTTAGGTGAGCTTCCCTAGTTGGTAACACTTGCTCATACTGTTATGCATCACTGCTGGAAGAACTAAGTCCTGTCTGTACAACTGTACTAGAAAAAGGATAACTGCAACCTCATACTAGGTCCTATGAGTCTTTTTTTTTTTTGCTGATTTTAATCTGCACTTTTTTTTTTTTGCTGTAATAAACTGTAACCATGAGAATAACAACTTTTCTGAGTCCTCTGAATCATTCTAGTGAAACATCAAGTCTGAAGGTGGTCTTAGGAACTCCTGATACAATTTATAATATAGTAAAATTCATACTTAAAGGAGTACTTCTTGTAAGTTAAAGATTTGGTTTCAGCAAGTTCATTTCCAAAGAGGCAGAAACAGTATTACATACTGATAGGAGTGCTTTCAAGTATGTGGATTTTGTTCCCATGGCCATGTCTAGGATGGCACTTCTGCTGAATAAAACAAATGCCTGCTCCCACCAGCACCTTCCTTTCCTTCAATGAGGACCCAGGTAATTTTCATGAAGTCTATGAAATGGAATAATTAATGCTTTCTACTCATTGCTACTACTGAGCTATAGTTGAGGGAAAAAAGAACTTTCTCAATTCTTCTACTCTTAGACCCTTAGGTAGATTTTGTACATTTTTATTTTACTCTTTTTTTGAGTCAGGGTTTCCCTATGTAGCCCAGGCTGGGCTCAAACTGACAATCCTTGTGCCTCTACCTCCCAAGTGCTGAGAATACAGGTGTGCAACTGGCCCAATAAAGCATCAAGTACACAAAAATCACAAAAGAACACAAGTACACAAAAATTCCCTTCCTCCCTCCCTCTTTTCCTTCCTTCCTTTCTCCCTCCCTCTCTCTTTAAACAAAGATACTCTCTATCAGTCAGGAACTGGTCAAGGCACAGTCCTTTGTTTGCAATGTGCATGGCTGGGCCACCCCAAGACCACTGAGTTGTACTGCACAATAAGATTAATTTTATAAAGGATTCATGGATTGAAATATCACCAAGGATTATAGCATTTAAGAGTCTGGGTTTACCAGATCAAAACATCCCAGCTGGGTGGATCAGTGACCATTCCATCACCTTATAAGGTTTCCCAACTCCCTAGACAGCTTAGCTGTTTGTTCTCTTTCTCTTTGAGAAGCTCTTAATTGTTCCCAACTTCTAAGGAAATTATAAAAGGTAATTGTCTAGGATGGAATTACCTACCACCTATGTAAGAATGAGATTTTCATTTATTTCACTGATGAATCAGAAAAAGAATTTAATATTGGTATCCAATATAGAATCTATCTATATTGGTTTCCATTCTGAGTAACATGCCTAAAGTATTAATTAAAAGCCTAGTTTAAATAAACTGCACAGTCATGAGCTCATCAAATTCAATGATTTAGGATTCCCTGTCTTTCATTTATAGTTTTATCAAGCTAACCGTAAAATGGAAATTGATGGCACTTTGCTTAGGAATGTCAGATAGGCTAATTTATGTCTCCATTTTTTTTTCATGTAAAGTCTCAGAAGTTATTACTATGTATTTTACAGTTCATTATTATTCATGATAATACTATTTGTAGACATTAACAGTAGTAACAGGAGAACGTTAAAGCTTCTGTCCTGAGACAGTAATACAGGTAGGGGTTGAAAATAAGAAACTATATAATCAGACTGCCTAGAATTGAACTTCAATCAACATACTTCTAGCTCTGTGATCTTGGTCAAGTTGCTTACCTTTTGTGCCTCAATTTCCTCTTCTGTAAAATGGGAATAATCAGGGTAACTTCCCCAGAGGGTTGTTGTAGGTAACAAATATGTGTAAAGAATTTAGAATTGTGTTTGGCATCTAATAAAAATGATGTAAGTAATGACTATTACTACCACCATCATCACTACCACCACTGTTAGTATTCCATGGAACAGGGCATTTAACTTATTTAGTTCTTTAATTTTTACCATATCAAGGTGTTACAAGGAAGAACAGAATTATTCTCTTAACTGACAAGTACTTGTTACATCTGCCAAAGCCACTTTACTGGGTTCCACTACAACATGGCTTCATTATGGTAATGATCTACCTTATAAAGCTCTGTGGGGAAATAAGGTATCTGCTCAGATGTCCTGTTCTGTGTTATTGCCACACAGGACATGTTGACAATACTGAACTCTGCCAGATACTTGGGATTTCAAAATTTCCTGGTTGCAGTTACTCAACCACTTCTGCAAGGCTGAGATTTAATATAATTGAAGGCAAGAATCACCTGCACACAGGTGCTAGAAGAACAAATTAATTTTAAAAACTGTCCCCTTCTTTCACATTCCCTGGTTAGGATACATTTCTTCAAAATAGTCAATGTGTGGAGGTTGGAGTATGTCAAGGGCAGAGAGTACCTGAGAAAAGGAAAAAAAAAAAAAAAAGTCAAATTTAGAGAACTAAAAAAGATACAAAATTCAATATAAATGCAAGTAAATACTACTAACTCATTAATGATTGCAGGCTTACTTACAATTGCCCATTGAAATTAACTAAATTTATTAGTCAAGAAACAGTCTTAAATGGGTTTATAAATTTACTACCTAAAAGATAATTCTAGCTAAACCAAAATGAAAGAGGCAGCTAGGTTATACTACGTATTACCAAAATCCCCGCCCAAAGAATGATGGGAATCACTATTTTTAAGAATTAGTGTTGCTTTAAGAGTATGAGGGGCCATATTCTATCTTTTATCATATTCTATTCCTTTATCCCTCTGTTCAACAAATGTTTACTATACACACTTTACCTGACAGGCACTGTGGTAAGCTCTGTGGGTTACACAGATGAACAAAACATATTTATTATCCCTGCTTTCATGACTATAGGAAAGCATGAAACAGTTACACAAATATGCAATTATGTGAAATCTATTATTATGAAGTAAAGAAGGGTAGAGGGAAAAGCTTGCCTAAAGTAACACTAATATTTGAAAGGCAGGCAGGAGTTGGTCAGTTAATGAACAGTCAGTGTGAAGACTTTAAAGCAGTTTTTATAAACAGAAAAGCCTGTACTTATAGAACACATTGGGAAGGAGAATAGATTGGTATGAAGTAGAAGAGAAAGACAGGAAACATATCACAAAACCTCATTAAATCATATTAGGAATTGTGGATTCTATTCTAAGTGCAAGAAAAGAAGTCAGCAGGCTGGGGAAAAAGACTTTAAAATATCTGAAATTCAGGTCCTTTCTAAGAGCAGCAAACACAACATATTACCAATGTAATATAACAAACAGGCCCACTTCCCCTGCAGTTCCTAGGCCATAAATCCCATCTATGATGTCACACCTAATCTGAACCTGTCTTGCTAACAGGCTCAAAGGACATGGAAGAGATTAAAAGGAAATGAATGGTGTGGTACAAGCTAACATTTTCCAATGTTTACCTTAGGTTTTAAGAGAAAAATTTTATTGTGGAGAGTTTCAAACATATAAAAGTAAATGAAATAAGATAAAAACCACCCATGAAGTTAATATCTGCCTGGCTTCAGTTATCCACAAGGCCATTCTTATTTCATTTATAACCTCTACCCCCCCAACTCACAATTTTGAAGCATATAGTAAGACTTTTTTCATCCATGCATTAGCTAAGTAGCTAACACATAAAAGTTTCATAAGATAGAATCATCAAATCTAAATATTTGGAAGTCCATTATTTATTTATTTATTTATTTACTTTTTACTGTACTGGAGATAGAACCACAGGGCCTTGTACATATTTATTTTTAATAACATCAACATATAGCACTCAAATTTTCAACTTTTTTATTTGAATAAAAAGTTTGTCAGTATAAATCAGGAGCTAAATAAGATTTGCATATTATGATTTAATGATTTATGCCCTTTAAGTTCCAATCTAAAAATTTCTCTTCCATATCTTTTTCTTTTCTTCTTGCAATTTACTTGTGCAAGAAACCTTGTTCATTTTAAAGATTATTCTTTTTTCAGCAAAGTATTTCTCAGTTTAAAATTTTAAATTAAGATTTATTTCATTAAACTTAAACCTCCTTTAATGAAAAAGTCTTCACTCACCTTAAAACTATTTAAACATAGACGCTTTTAATAGTTTGTATGTTTTTAATAAGGATATCTACATTTCCTTTTTGAATTAAAAAGTTTATACTTAGAATTTTGGTATAAACAGAAAACAGATTTTCTTCAGTCTTCAAAGAAAAATTTTATCATGAGAGATAAATTATTCCATCCAGTGTCTCAAATTCACATGAATTTCTTTCTCATGTGATAGAAAAAAAATTTAAGATCAGTATTTGAAGCTCAAGGAAGGCAGTTTTACTTGGCATCTTTTGGACTCTGAACTCTGTACCTGAACAACACACATCCTGTCTTGAGGGAAAACAGAATGCAATGAGTGACAGTGTCCATTAGACAAAGCTATTTTACACTTCAAATCTATCTGCTATAATTAGAGGTTATCTAGAAGAAAGTGACAACCATACATTTTAAACCTTAAGAGAGAAGAATGAGGCTTTCTTATTGCATATTTGATGAGGCCTTTTGTAGAAAAGCCATATAAAACAAGGCTAGACATTTGCATTACAACATTTAGCCATGACTTGTTAGCTTCAAAAGTACAGAATTTAAAATTCTGCCTAGAATTTTTAAATGCCTGATATCTTATGCTTACTCTTTTACTCTAAATTGATTAAAGGATGACATTCCACTGTGTTCCTAGGTGCAAAACCACAACTTAGACCAATAAAAATGACCTAGGTATCTCAGAAGTAATATAAATGATTATGAACTGCAGCAGTTCAAACTCCAAACTTCATGCCTGACTTCTATTTAAGTAGCTGGAGTTTCTCTATAATCTCACTATTATTCGAGGGAATTAAGTATGGGAGATGAGCCTTGTGATGTAAATAGAAAGACACTTGTAAAGGCTTAGGCTTCTAAAGAGTTAAAGTATCCTAAAATACCACCAAATTCTCCAAAAGATCTCAAATACAAAGAAAGTAAGCAGACTTATCTAATTAAAACATGATTACTACGAAATAGTGCCTCAGCACATTTCTGGACTCTTTTAAGAATTGGAGAAAAGCTCATTATGTTAGCTGCTTTATAGGATTTTAACCTCCATGGTATTAGAAGATTCACTATAACCTGGTTACATGAGGAACAAATAGCTTACTTTCAGTCATTTCTTTATCAATGAAACAATCAAGGGCTGTACAGAAACGTAAGGATAAGAAATTAACCATTGATCCACAGAACAAACATTTCCTGAATTTCTACTCTGCCAAGGACTCAAAGACAAGAATAAGACACAAAGAAGCCAGAACTGATCTCTAGTAGAATCTAAGTTCTTTAAGGTAGAGAATACATTATTATTACTATTTTTAGAGATATCAATAATGTACACAAATCCTAAGAGTATAATTTGATGAATTTTTACATACATTATGTCCATGTAACCATCACTTACATCAAGAAATCAAGCATTTCAACACCCTGGAAGGTGCCTTTGCTCCTTTTCAGTCAAAACCCATTCTTCCACTACTCTCAATTCTGTCACCATAGACTCATTCTGCCAGTTTTTGAACCTTACACAAATTGAATCAGAAAAGGTGAAACCTTTAGTATATGGCTTCTTTCATACTGGCATCCCTGTGAGATTTATTCATGCTGCTGTGCGGGATCAGTGGTCCATGGTTTTTACTGATGTGTAATATGCCGTCATACAAATGGGATATACCATAAAGTACTTAACCAGAGTACTGTTAGCAAACAGTTGCATTCATATGAATTCCAGTTTCTAGCTACTGTCAAAGCTGCCATGAACATTCCTGTACATGTCTTTTGATAGATTTATGTATTCATTTCTTATGAGTGTTTAATAAGGGTAGAAATGCTGCACTATTGGGTAGTTACATATGTAACTTTAGTGGAAATTCCTAGTTTTCCTAAGTGGTTTCACAAATTTACATTCTCACTAGCAATGAATGAGTCTCAGTTGTCTCATAACTTTGGCCAACATTTGATACTGTTAAGTCTTTTTAATTTCAGTCATTTTGAAATATACTGTGGTAGCTCAACATAGTTTTCACTGACACTTCTCTGATAAGTAATGATAACATTTTCATGTTATTCTCTTTTGTGAAATACTTAAGTCTTTTACTGATAGGCAAAACGTCTTGATTTATACAAGCTCTTTATATTATGTATGACTTCTAGATAAAGAATTTACTATCTGAAAAATATCAAGATAAAGCATTTATTTCAAATGTCTCCCTCAAACACTAAATTTATTTGTTTGTTCATTTATTTATTAATTTTCTAGTACTGATGATTGAACCCAGGGCCTCAAGCATACTAGGCAAGTGCTCTCCCATTGAGCTAAATCCCCAGCCCCATTCTCTTAATTTTTGATGAACTTAGTGTTAATAGTGTTCAGGTTTTTTTTTTTTTTTTTATGGTTCTGCTTTACTTGCCCAATTAAGAAATCTTTGCTTATCTTAGTTGTAAAGACATTTTCCTGAGATGGGGGCATGGCTCAAGTGGTAAAGCACTTACATAGCAAGTGAGTTCAATCCCTAGTATAGAAAATAAATAAATAAATAAAGACATTTTTCTATGTTTTATTCTAGAAGATTTATTATTTTATCTTTCACATTTAAGTCTATGATCCATTTTAATTAACTTACGTATATGGTGTGAAGAAGGGGCTACAGTTCACTTTTTAAATATGGGTATCTAATTAACTCAGAACTATTTACTGAAATGGCCATCATTCCCTATTGGATTGCAGTGGCACCTCTCATGTAAATCAGGTGAACATATATGTATATGTAAGTTTACAGACTTGCTATTCTGTTTCACTCATCTATTTGTCTATCCCTCTACTGCTTAACCTCTACTGCTTAACAGTCTGAATACCTGGTGGGACATACATTTTTAATTTTATTCAACATCTTCAAGATTAACCTGGCTCTTTCAGATCTTTATCAGTTCCATAAATCTTAGAATAAGTCTGTCAATTTCCACACACATTTAAAGGGAAAAACCTTGTGGAATTTTGATTGGGATTATACTGAATATATAGTTCAACTTGGGGAAAACAGGTATATCGTCCATACTGTCTTCCAATCTGTGAACATGTGTGACTGTATTACTTTAAACACATCAATAAATTTGTCCAATACCACAAACTTTGACATAAAAACCAAATCTACCGAAAAATGCACCTCTACAGCATTCTTCTTCACTCTTCAGCAGTAGACCAGTTAGTATTACAAAGTGCTACTTAGCTGTTAATATTACTAAAATGGCTGCATCCGAACATGTCCACTTTTAAAGAATCCTATTGTGTAACTATCTACGTACCTATGCTACTTATGATCCCAAAGTTCCTGCCTTGCCCCATTCTACTCCTCCCCAGGACACTCCAGAGCTAAGACTGGGAAAAAGTAACCTCAAGAAAAACACTACTAAGTTTATCATTCCAAACCCTGAGACTTTTTTTCCTGTCATTTTAATTCAAATAGACCGATCACCTACTGTGCATTTAGTACTACTGCCTAAAGACAAGAAATAGCCCAAGACTTGTATTACTGAGACTCTCAGCAGGAATGGACCCTAAAGGGGCTCTAAGTGGGCTTTAAAACTAAATCTAAAATAACATGACTTTGATGATTTCTTACAGAAGACATTCCAAAGCCTTCTAGGGCTTTGTAGCTGTTCTCTGACACATAAAAGCCATCCAAATTAAAATCCAACCTTCCTAAAATGACCAGGTTAATCTTTCTAAATACAATTTTCAGCATGACATTCCTTTCTTCTCCTATTCACTCAAATCTTCTTATTATCTAAAGGCTCATTTTAAGATTCACCTTTGTCATGTTTAAAGCATCTTTGAGTTTCTAAGTCCACACCAATGTTTCTTTTTTCCTTAAAATTATGGTACTTGGTTACTACCACTCAATTGAGAAGCTTAAAAAATTACCCAGAATCTAACTTAGTAGGTCGGAGGTGAGACCCATGAAACTCTTTTTTAAAGTTTTCCAATAATTCTAATATGTCTCTAGGTTTCACTGTCCAGCTCTCTGCAGAGCTGACATACCATTGATGTATTAATGTTTTACACGTAGGCAGGCCTCCCATAGCACTTTTATTATAGTATTTATCACATCATGAAAATCACTGAAACTGTCTGAAGGTAGAGACTCTAGAGGCTAACGTTGTTTAGGCACACAGGATGTGTACAATGTTTACTGAATTAATGAAAATGGGCTCTGGAACCAAACAGATTTTCATTCTAATCTTGACATTGGGCAACATTAACTCTAAGCCTCTGGTTCCTCTGTAAAGTAGGGTTAACAAGCCTTATTTGGGAAGAGTTTTAAAAAGTAAATGAATTAATGTATGTAAAGCATCTAGCATAATTTCTGACATACAGTAACACAATCTGTGTCAAACATCTGGTCTGCTACCTTCAAAAAGGACAGCATTTTAAATTTGTGTTGTAACCTCCATATGATCTAGCACTGCAATCTTTCCACAGGACCCAATTAATAAACATGTGTTACCCTAACAACATCAAATAACAGTTGCCTCGTAAGACTGGCATTCCACACATACCAGGTATGCTGGCCCTGAGATGCCTTTGGAGACAGATCTCAAGAATAGCAGAAACTGATTATGTATAAAATAGCGGTGCCATGCCATTTTCATCTCCAGCTATTTGCCACACTTTCAAACATTCCTATAGATGTCCTAGGTACTCTTCTCATGATACAGGTCAGGCGCTCCCAAAAGTGGTCTCGTGTGTGTGTGTGTGTGTGTGTGTGTGTGTGTGTGTGTGTGTGTGTGTGTATTTTAAACAGATTTATATGCATTTAAAATTTTAATTTCTACAAAAATCATACACAGCTATTTCTGCTTTCACCGCACTCACTTTGCAAATGGGAAAGCTTAGACCTCCCAGAAGCTAAAGCCTAAGACAACCACTAGAAAATAGTAAAAGCCACAATTCAAATCTGGTTCTGACTCTACAGGCCAGCTCTTATAAACTACAATGGAATTGGCTGTGTGTTTTTTAATCGGTGTGATTTTCAAGAATTCAGCTTATTTCTTTTCTTATACTGGCACTGTCTCTGGAACTTAATTACTCTATAAAAATAAATCATGAGCAAAGATAAATAGCAGCTTATTATATCACTGCCTTTTTATAAAGAAGCCAAGATTGGCCTGAGGATAATAAAGCATTGAAATCTTTAGTAAGTGAACTTCTGAAGCCACGTTCAAAATATTTCTTCATCACGGATACCTTCACTTGAGTCTCTGACACTGTACATAGACTTGTACTTTTTAATGCTGGGATGACACTAAGGCAAATTCAAAAATAAGTAACTAAGCAAGCATTAGACATCAATCTAAATTACGTACCCCAAACCAAGGCCCAGGCAACTTGAATGGTACTTTGAAACTTATTAGAACAAACACACACATTGCTAGGCAGTTCAAATAAGACTAAAAGAAAGCAATGCATTTTTTTTCCTCCTTTGGTGCTGGGGATTGAACCCAGAGTCCTGCACATGCTAGGCAAGTGTTATCACCAATAATCTGTACCCCAAACCCAGCAATACTTTTTTTAAAAAAATTTAAGAGATTTCAGGAAGGGTAATCAATAAAATGAAATATGTTAATTGAAGGAGCTTCACGTGAACCATTAAAGAATTCCAATATTCCTAGTTTTACCAAATACCCCAAACTTTTGCAGATTTCTTTCTTAAAGTGAGACCCAAACACTGACCAAAGTTATAAAGATTTCTGGGCAAGCAGGTACACAGACTCTCTAGAAGTCATTTTTTATAGTCTTTATTACAGCAATTAAAATAGCACAGGTTGAGTACTATCACAGAATTTGAGGCAGTTTTTCTTTTCACATGAAACTGAAAGCAGAGTCCACTGCTAACAACTTCCAGGTAAATTTTACATTTATCAAACTTTTTTTTTTTTTTTGGTGATAGTGGGGGTTGAACTCAGGGCCTTGTACTTGCTAAGCAAGTGCTCTACCACTTGAGTCAAACCCCAGTACTTTTTGCTTTAGTTATTTTTGAGATAAGGTCTTGCTTTATGCCCTGATCCTCCTGGACTTTGGTCCTCTTATTTATGATTGCTGCATAGCAGGGATAGCAAGCACATGTCACCACATCCTGATTTATTGGTTGAGGTAGAGGGCTGATGAAGTTTTTGCCCAGGTTACCCTGGAACCACAATCCACCTGATCTCTGCCTCCCAAGTAGCTAGGATTGAGCCATGGAGCCCAGCTTCCTTTTAAGTCAGAATTAGCTGAGGAGAAGCTATTTCTCAAAGTACAATACAATGAGTCTATTTGTCCCTGAGTCTTCACATTTCTAATCATAGTGATAAACTGTATTGTCTTTACAGAAGAAACTGTTTCCCTACATTTCAAACTTAACCTCTGATTAAAAATATTAAAGGATAAAAATAAAGCACTTAAAACATGGGCTAATGATTCTCATCAAATCACTCACTATATATTCCACTGTATTTTTGTGTTGAACATTAGTATTACTCCTCAGTTAAATATCAATATTTGCTTTGCATCAATTAATATTAATCTGTCAATGAATAAATCTTAGAATTCACTTAAACTTGCTCATTGTTCAATCACAAAAAGTCTAATTTGTCTCAGGTTCCCAAGCCTCTTAATAAAAACTTTTATTGTAATTTCTTTCTAGCCTATTTTTCCTATAGTTATATGCTCCTTTTCTATGGACTTTAAACATATTTAATAGCTTATATTCTTAGAATTAAAAACAATACTCAGACTGACAAATTTAAAGTACACAACCCAATTCTGAAGCTAATCTGAAGCTTATAAGGTCCAATGTTTTCTAATTTGGAGTTAAGCCTTCTATACATCGGACAATAGAGTGTAGTGTTCAAACCTATAAGTAAAATTCTAATATGCTGCCAAGACTATAAACTATTGATTGCAACAGTGAAAATTTAAGATAGTCTATAGAGACATAAAGAGCCTAGTAATGAAAGAAAGTATCTTGAAAAACTCCATGTGTTCCTTTCAATAAGAATATGTGAACTGAAAGCCTGTCCATAGGTATTCTATAACACATGGATGTGCCTACTACTGCTTTTCATAGAGTTTAGCATAAAACTCTAGCTAATTTCTAAATTTTACTTCCATGTACCTTTTTAACTCTCCTTTGTTCTTTATTAACTCAGTGAAGTAGGTTTAGGAAATAATTTACCCCAAACACCAATTTCACTTACATTATCATGTTTAAAAAAACACAACATCTTCAATTCCCGGAAGACTCTTTTGCAAGAGACCAGATTCTGGAAGACGTTGGGCATCTTTTTGAGTGCTACTCTCTTTCCATCTCTTGGATCTGTTACTGACCTAAAGAAGCAATATTTGGAGGGGGGAGGAGAGGGAAAAAAAAGACAGAAAAATCAATTCTAAATCTTGTTCTCCAATGTTTCAGGTTATGACAAATACTGTTATTTTAAAATACTCAATATTAAATCCACATAATAATGCTTAAGGCATTGTAAGAGAATGCTAACCAACTCATCTGCCATGTTTTTGGAAAAAAAAACAAACCCTGTCTGAATTTTCATAAACACCCTTTCTAAGAGGTCATTTGATAAATTTAAAGTACAAGGGGTATTACTGGTAAAGTCATTTTGAAGATGGGGTTAGGGGTAAAAGCAACAGCATACCACATTAATATGATCAAAGTCAAAATTGCTTTATGCTTTGTTTTCAAAATCATTTTCAAGATGGAAGAGATGTTCAAACATGATTTAAATTTTTTTTTAACACAGATGAACATCTTTTGATAATATGGACTTCAGTAGCAGTACAAGCTGAATGTTTCCTTTTCAGAAGTCTGAGTGATAGCTTAGCAATCTCTCTAGTTCCTAAGTCATAACTCTTTCCTTTTTGTTTCTGAGCTCTTGGTGTGGGAGTTGCTCTTTGTGGTTACTGTCCCTTTAATAACTAAGTGTTTCCATTTTTTTCTCTTTTGGCCTTCTAACTGCCTATATAACCAATTTCCTGTTATTATATTTCCCTATGTTTAAAATATAAGTATGACTCCCATTTTTCTGATTGGACTCAATCAATACATATTAAATGAAAGTCAAAAGAAACAACCCAACAAATTGGGTAAACTGGCCAACTGGACATTTGGCAATTAATATCTCATAAGTTTTTTTTTTCTTTTATTCCATTTACCCATCATACTAAGACTGCTTGTTCTTGTAGAACTTACACCTGTCAGATTTATTTAGCTACATTCCCGCTGGTCATTCTCAGCTACCATTACCTTTCACTTCTTGTTCTAATCATCCAGTGCTTTGAATATCCCTCCTAAACCTAAGTCATTTTAAACTATGATTCATGTACTATCAATACCTTTATCCAAGTTATTAATTAAATTTTAGAACAGAACTGAGAATAGATTGTGGCAAAAGTTACAGCACTAGAAATCATCTATGAAACTGATACCCAATCATCAATCTTGGGCATGGTTTCCAATTACTTATTCAATTAACTACAATCACTCAATTTCTTCTCTTGTCCTCAAGCCTTCCTGAAAATAAAGCATTCCTTGTCTTTTTTTGGTGTGTGTGGTACTGGGATTTGAACTTGGGGCCTACATCTTAAGCCACTCCACCTGCCGTTTTTTTGTGAAGGTTTTTTTGAGATAGAATCTCATTAATTATTTGCCCATCCTGGCTTTGAACCGCAATCCCCCTGGATCTCTGCCTCCTGAGTATCTAGGATTATAGGCGTGAGCCACTGGCACCCAGCTACTCCTGGTCTTTCTATCTGTCTAAAAACCCACACAAAACTTCTATATGAATTCATCCTGATTATCACTACTTCCTTTAAAATGTTTACAGAACTATTAAATGATGTAATCTAGTATTTTTAAACAAGAAGCTTTACCTCTTCTAGTGACTAAAAATTTGGCAAAACAACTAAGTATTATCATTTTCAAGTTTTTTTTTTTGAGGCCCAAGCTGGCCACAAACTCATGATCCCCCTGACTTAGCTTACTGAGTGCTGGACTGCTGGTATGCACAATGGCAAAAGCTGTGTTTTTTTGGTTTTCCAGTGCTAAGATAGAACCCAGAGCCTGTGCATGCAACAGTCTGAAATGTAACTCAATTAATCTAGGAGACCTAATATGAGAGACGGTTGCTTAGAAAATATCAAAACCTACAATACTACTTAAAATCCACAGAAACTCAGACAGTAAAATAAGGGAGAAACTAAGTATAAGCTAAATTCAGACTATTAGCTGAAAGCATTTTGCTTGTTTGTTTCAATGTATTAGTCTGTTTCTAGCTAGCAGAAGACAAAAATGTCAATAAAACAGCAACAAGGGAAAATTTTGGATCATACTTTATATTCAAATATCATGTCTCTTTAGTCTTCTCTAACCTAGAACAGTTACTTAGGAGAGTACAGGCTGATTACTTTGTAGATTATCCCTCAGTTTGGGTTTGTCTAGTGTTTTCTCATTAGATATGATAATGAATTTTTCACACGAACAATACAGAAGTACTGTCTTCTCAGGGTGTGATATTAGGAAGCACATGCTGTCACTATGCCCTATTACTGGTGATGACTCTATTCACTTGAATGAGATGTCTGCCAGGTTTCTCCACTGTAAAGTTATTACTTGCCCCATTTTTAACTATGTTAACACCCTATTCTTCATCAAACTTTGACTTACTACCTGTAGCATCCATTGATGGATTTTTGCCTGAATCAATTATTATTATTATGGTTGCCAAATAGTACTTTAATAATTTTAGTATCTTTAACAGTGCAGCAGAATAAATATTCAGTTAAAAAAATGAATTAAACACAATTTCTAACACCTCATCCAATACCTCTTCCTAACTTCTGACTTGTTCTTACTGGTCACCCTATTGTGGTGAGAAAAGTTCCTCTTAAGATAAATCTTGTCTGGAAATACTTGACACAGGATCAAGGTTCGTACTGTGCCTGTAATGTTTTAAGGTTAAGATACACAAAGCAGCATCTTATTTTATTATTCATGCAAAAGTCAGCCATGCCTATGGCTGGTAACAATATAACTCTAGTGAATGTGAATGGCAGTGCAGTAATTTCACACCATGTTGAGTTTGTTCTCTTAACTCGAGGTAGCAGATGCTTTAGTTCAGCCCAAACAGTACTACAGAACACAGGTAAGCTTGGAAGCATGTTATACAGGAATTCTTTTATTTTCTTTGTTACTCAGGGAAAGGCTTTCTGTGCTTAGTTTCTCTGCTGCTCCAATATTCTAGTTATTTCAACTACACTTGCTAATGAAACTCCACAGCTATAGACCTGTGTACAACAGTTAGAGCAACTTTCCTTATTTCAAAGAAAAAAAAGGAGCCTACAATTCACTTACTGGCCAGTTATTTTCCCTGTTAAATACTGGATGCCCTAAATAGTGCATCTGTCATTTCATCTGATTATAATTCTCAGAACAATTCAAGGTATACTAGACTGATGTTTATTTTCTAAGTTTTAAATTAATTGATTTTTCAAACACTTTGAATATACATTTTAAGAGTTTTGAGAAAGAATCCTTCACATCTGCCTAGAACATATCAATTCTTGTCTGTACAGACATATCAATTCTTTTTGTACTTACAACACAAGTTCGACTATTTCTTAAAACACCAGAACCCACAAAACATTCTTCAGAGATATACACAGTTTGTCAAAGAGCACAATAACAAAACAGGAAGCATTTTAGATCTGTTGTGGTCATTCTGACACACGGTTTTCTTAATTCCACGAAACTGTGACCATTGCCAGAAGTCTGCTTAAATTACTTACAAACAGAAAAGCGAGAATGAAACAGGAATAAAATTATTGGGGACACTTTGCCAGGCACCAAAATGTCACTTAAAACATTTTTAAATTGTGGCTTAAAGCACCATTAAACTAATTGCCAAGAATCTCCAAGAAATTAAGTTCCTCATTCATTTTTATGTAAAGAATCTTTTCATTAGATGCTTTTAGTACTTTTTAAGTTCATGTTTCTGATGCAGCTTTTTAGCTATTCAGAGCAAATAATTTATGGTGAAAATGCTTCAACTTAGATTAAGAAAATCAGATTCTTCTAATTCTATTCACATAATGTGGTTATCATCACACCTCTATTTTTTGCTACATATGCTACAATTACTATGTCAACTATTCCAATACAGTATACATCTCAGTAACAGAATCTCTTAACTAGACTCTAAATATTTAGATTATTGCTTTCACATTCATTCTGAAATTCATTTCCTTAGAAGTTATTTTTGCTTGTATTTAGATTAAATCTGCTTGAGAAAATAGCAAACTGTGAGGCAAAATTTTTGACAATAAAAAAAGTCTAGAAAATGTACCTTAGTCTTTGTTATATATTCAACACACTAGTAATTTAAGGAATAAATTGAGGAACATGGAATTTATTTTCATGTCTCTCTACCCTTTCTAATCAGAATTTTAACAGGTTATAGTTTGTGTACACACTGCAATAGTTTACAGAGCTGTACACTATTCTGAAGAACAAATCCTTCTACACCTCTCTGCCCCCATCCCAAAAGACAAAGAATTTTCATCACCCATATTTATATCATTTGTCCCATCAGCTGGATTTTCTTTCGTATTTTTGTGTTTGTTTACCCAATTTTGGAATGTTGAGTTAGCTATATGCATAAGAAAGTGATCATTTTCTCTTTTTTTGGCGAAGATATATATAATGATATATATCTTTATATATGATATATATATATATCAAGATGTTAATTTATATCACAAGGGGAAAAAAGGTTTTATACAACAGCTAAACCAAGGCGGTGAACTAGTTCATTCTTTTTTTCTTATCCTTCTAACATTGACCAGAAGAAGCAAAACATCTATATTTAACTAAAAGAGTTAAATATGAACTTAAATGTCCTCTATGTTTAAACAAATGGCACTAGGCCATTCTGATCTGTAGCGAAACATCCCAAGAGTACTGATAAGAGAGGAAGAAGGAGGAACAGGCATCCCATATTTATATTCAAATACTTATTACTAGTAAGACTTTACTTTTAAGATCCCCCTTTAGTTCCCCACCAATAATGGTAGATAAGTTAAAATATAACTGAAAGTCATGTTCTATTAATCCCTATGGTCTTGGAAATACTTGCGTGTTCTTCAGGCCATAAATTAATTAGTTCCATCTATACTGCATATGCTCTGCAGATATAAAGACTCTTCCTCCTCAGTCACTGTCAAATATCTCTGTGAGAAGTATGACCTGCCTACAAGAAAGTGGTCATCCTGTCTTTTCAGTGGGAATTTTCTCATGTTAGACAGTAAACCTGACACTC